GACCCTGATGAAGTTTGGGGATTTTCCACTCTATTATGTAAACTGAAATTAACTCATAAATTAAATATTAAACGACATAAATTAAAACTAAAAATGTCAAATACATAAAAATTAATATATAATGTACATTAAAAGACAGATATTTCCCAACAAATTCACAAACAAGTTATATTCTTAATTTTAAGTTATTAATAATGACTGTCAGTATTTCTTTTCCATTTTTGGTACGCTCTTAATAAACCAATAAAAAATGGCTAATAAACGGGCGAAACTCATAACACAATTTATTCAACATTAATTACTCTAGAATCTCTCTCTCTCTCTCTCTCTCTCTCTCTCTCTCTCTCTCTCTCTCTCTCTCTCTTCTCTCTTTCTTTCTTTTTTTCTCTCGTCACCCTTTTTTTATTAAAAAACATGTGCTCTGAGAGCGTGAGTCGATGAAGAAATGTAAAAATTGAATGGAATGTTGCTTGTGAAAAATCACGGCGCTCCTGATGCTAAACCATCACGACTGAAAAGTATTGCAAAACTGTATTTGTGGGGGGGGGATTTGGCACACTATCGATTCTGTTAAATGTTAATTTGAACTGAAAATAACTCATAAATTAAATATTAAACCAGATAAATGAAAACTCAAATGCCAAATAATTAAAAATTAATACCCGCTATACATCAAAGGATATTTCCCAACAAATTCACAAACAATTTATATTACCTAATTTTATGTTATTAATAATTCAAAGTATTTCTTTTCCAGTTTTTCTTTTCTTTTTTTCGTACTCTGTTAATAAACTAATAAAAAGGGTTAATAAACGGACGAAACTCATAACGCAATTCATTTAACATTAAACTGAAATTAGGGGAGAAGGAGGATGAAAAAATAAAAACAACAGTTTTTAAGCAGGTTATGATACATTTTAACATGGAATTATTGACATGTTAATTTATGATGTATGGATTTGTGAGGTTGGCATGAATTACTCTACAATCTCTCTCTCTCTCTCTCTCTCTCTCTCTCTCTCTCTCTCTCTCTCTCTCTCTCTCTCTCATCGTCCTCTTTTATTAAAAAATACGTGCTCAAGCACATCACTGGACAGCTTGAGGCTTGAAGACGAAATGGAAAGATTGAATGGAATGTTGGATANGAAATTAACTCATAAATTAAATATTAAACGACATAAATTAAAACTAAAAATGTCAAATACATAAAAATTAATATATAATGTACATTAAAAGACAGATATTTCCCAACAAATTCACAAACAATTTATATTACCTAATTTTATGTTATTAATAATTCAAAGTATTTCTTTTCCAGTTTTTCTTTTCTTTTTTTCGTACTCTGTTAATAAACTAATAAAAAGGGTTAATAAACGGACGAAACTCATAACGCAATTCATTTAACATTAAACTGAAATTAGGGGAGAAGGAGGATGAAAAAATAAAAACAACAGTTTTTAAGCAGGTTATGATACATTTTAACATGGAATTATTGACATGTTAATTTATGATGTATGGTTTTTTTCGGTTTGTCTGTCTTTCTGTCTCTTCTCTCTCTCTCTCTCTCTCTCTCTCTCTCTCTCTCTCTCTCTCTCTCTCTCTCTCTCTCTTCGTCCTCTTTTATTAAAAAATACGTGCTCAAGCACATCACTGGACAGCTTGAGGCTTGAAGACGAAATGGAAAGATTGAATGGAATGTTGGATAGGAAATTTCACGGCGCTCCGGATGCTAAACCGTTTCGACCAGCTGTTCTTGCAGATCTGTTGACCAGTCCGCCGTAAAATGCTATTAGATTGAAGTAATGTAAACACATTTACAGAATGGGATATTTTCAAGGATTTTGATATTACGGCATTATCTACTACCCCTTCAGTGGAAATATAAAACTAAATAACCTAAAAACTGAATAGAGATGCTACATAAAAAACTAAATAAACGCGTTTAGGCATTGCGCCATTTTTAGTGATAGACTGTTTCCTGTCAGTTCTTCACTGAAGATGGCGCAATGCCGAAACACGTTTGAGCAGGTCAACAAACCTGCGAGTTTTCAGCATGAGTTCACCGACTCGTAGACGAACACCTAACAACACCACGGAGCATAACATTAATTTTGTTTCTTTCTAATATTGTTCCCATTTTAAAGAATTTTCAAAATATTCCTAATCAGTTGGGATATTTTACTTGAATAAATCATCTTTCCGTGTTTTCAATTTGAAAAAGAATTATTTAAGTTTGATTTTTGGTTCTTTCACGAAGTGGAAGCTGTTAACAGGAATTGATTAGGGGCTTGGACAAACTGGAAGTCCAAATAAGTCAACTTGTCCGTAAAATAATTTCATCGTGGGCTGCACAGAGCCGAATAAAGCCCCGATGCCCGGTTTGGAAATTCAACCCAAAGAGAATAATTGAACACAGAATTTCAAGGGACGGTTTAGTTACAACGGAAATAAATCATTTGTCAAACCGGGATCGACGTGGCCAAAATTATACGGCTTTACTTTAGAATTCCTCATTCGGGATTAAGCCGTCATGAAGCGAATCGATAACGGTTCTTGATGTCGGAACAACTAGGAAATGTAGCATAAAACGGAGTTTTATTTCCACTCAAGATAGAACGAAACCCCTGTCTGGGCGATTTTTCAGATTTACGACTCATTACCGCCCACCAGGACGATAGATTAATCACAGTGCTTTCTCACTCGATTTAATTAATAGATGCCAATCCTCCAAAAAGGCTTAAAGGCCGTGTTTTTGTACTCGGAAACAGGTTCATTGCTGACCAAATTCACCTCAGTCCGGCCCACCGTCATAAAAACTTAAGAATTCTTCCAAACACTCAAAAGTAACAATTGACATAATTTTATAATATTTAACAACAGTTCCTTCTACTCTCGCCTAATCTATCAGGACAAATGTCTCACACGTACGACAACCTAATTCTTTTTGAAAGAAACGTAAATACAATATTTACAAAGGAGGAAATGTGAAGGAGAATACAAAGGAAAAATTCACTGGTGAATATCCGATTGTGTGAATATATTTATTTGCGTGAATGGTTAAATGCGTGGTGACACATTTATGGAGAAATATCGATTATGCACAAAACCACCAAAGTAGTCTAGGTTATTTAGTTTCATATATATTCGCAGTATAAGGGATATAGTTATCTAAACCCTGGTAGACATCCCATCGTGTGAATGTATTTATATGCGTGAATGTTAAGTGTGTACGGGCAAGGTCTGTAGTGAAATACAAATTATCTCAGACACACAGAAGTAGTATAGGTTATTTAGTTTCATATATTTGCAGTAAGGGGTATAGTCTAAACCCTGGTGGACATCCCATCGTGAATGTATTTATTTGCGTGAATTGTTAACTCTATGTGGGCAACGTCTATGGTGAAATATAAATTATCCTTAGACACACCGAAGTAGTCTAGGTTATTTAGTTTCATATATATTCGCAGTATAAGGGATATAGTTATCTAAACCCTGGAGAACAGCCCGTCGTGTGAATGTATTTATTTGCGTGAATGTTAAGTGTGTACGGGCAAGGTCTGTAGTGAAATATAAATCATCTCAGACACACAGAAGTAGTAAGGTTATTTAGTTTCATCTATTTGCAGTAAGAGATATAGTCGTCTAAACCCTGGTGGACATCCCATCGTGTGAATGTATTTATTTGCGTGAATGTTAAGTGTGTAAGGGCAAGGTCTCTTGTGAAATATAAATTATCTCAGACACACAGAAGTAGTATAGGTTATTTAGTTTCATATATTTGCAGTAAGGGATATAGTCATCTAAACCCTGGTGGACATCCCATCGTGTGAATGTATTTATTTGCGTGAATTGTTAACTATATGTGGGCAACGTCTGTGGTGAAATATAAATTATCCTTAGACACACCGAAGTAGTATAAGTTATTTAGTTTGTAGTGTAAGGGATATAGTCATCTAAACCTTGGTGAACAACCCATCGTATGAATGTATTTATTTGCGTGAATGTTAAGTACGTATGGGCAAGGTCTGTAATGAAATATAAATTATCCTCAGAAAACCAAAATAATATAGGTTATGTAGTTTCATATGTATTCTCAGTTTAAGGAATCTAGTCACTGCTGTACGAGCTAAACCCTGATGAATATCCAATTGTGTGAATGTACTTAGTTGCGTGAATGGTTCTTGTGGGCAGGTCTGTTATGGAATATTGTGCACATACCGAACGAAGGATAACTAGCACAGTGGATATGGATGTTGTTTTTTTTCTGTACGAATATATTTATTGGCGTGAAAAAAGGGAGTACGTCAAGCTACGGCTACTCCCGAAAAGCCCCGCCGAACTTCGATTAAGTAATCGTTTTGAAATGTATAGATGTACTACCGAAAGTATAAGAAAAAACTTTTGGATTTTGGAAAGTTAAGATAAATTAGGAGGTCTTATTAATTAGTATGCGTAAAATTATACGAATTAGTGAAAAGAAAGATGTTCAAATGAAACAAAAAATGCCGTCAGCTGTTTTAATTGTTAAGTTTATAGAAACACATACATATCTTTCTTTACAGAATGAAAAAACGGTTCTTTTGTCCTCTGTTTATTATTATTTTCCATGATCTTATAAGCATTTCGTTGTTTAATAAAAACGAACTACTTGAATTGAGATGATAAAATGAAACAGCTAATATTTGAATTGGCCGCCACCGTTTGCAGAAGGTACTGCGTGATAGTGGCCGGAAGACAAACGAGCACGAATCGGATCCAGACAGAATACAAATACATTACGATACATTACGACCGGATCATTGTGCTTCTTGAACAGTTAATTACAAATTCTCAACTAGTTTGTCCATCTATCTTGTCTTAAATTTAATTTTTTAAGCAAATAGCCTTCAATATGATTTAATATGATTTTGAGTGTTTTAAATTTAAATGTTATAAAAATTAAAAATCACAAGTTACCTACTTTCATTTTTTCGTGGAAAGATCGCAGCTTTCTTGATTACTTAAAAAACTAAATACCTAGTTAAATATCTAATATGTTTATTTTTGTTATCAAACTTTAAATAAAATTAAATGGAAATAATTTTTTTTAAATTATTTCGTTCTTTTTTACAAAAGATTTACATTTAGAAATAAACATTTATACTAAATTTTTATAAAATTTAACAATCACAATTGTTTATGCAGGAATAAACCTAAAAGCACTGTTATAAATAATTGATCTTACAGTTATAATTTTCAAGTTTTTTTTTTCTTAATTTTCAACATGAGCTTGAATACCTTTCGGTTCTCTTCAGACAGTGAGGTAACTACATTTTATTTACCTTTTGTATATCTATAATATTTAAAATATTGATTTTCTAAAAATTTATTCAATAAATGAAAAAGAATACTATAAATATTTTTGGTAATTTTTTTAGATTTATGACAGTTTTTGTATTACCTTGGCAAAGAATTAATTAATAATAAAAATAATATTTATTAATATGACACGACCTTTTTAAAGGCCTCTTATAGGGTTGATTCTATTTACAGAGAATCATCAGTAAATATAGATAGGTGTTTCAAATATTTTGAAAAATAGAGAATCACACCATGTGGTCAGCTTTCTGACTATCAGATCTGATGTTATTTAACATAATCTGTTCTAAAATAAAGCATTTCTCAAGTAATCAGCTTTTTGACGGTCAGAACTGGTGATAATTAACACAACTGGTTTCAAAATTCATTTTTCTGGTGTTAAGTTTTCTGACAGCCAGATCTGACATAAATAAGATAGTAGGATCCAAAATAAAACAAAGCTCAGATTGTCTGTCAGCCTTCTCACTGTCAGATGTAATGACATTTAATTCAGTCAAAGCCAAAATAGGTTTTTCTCTGGTGGTCAGCTTTCTGCCGCTCAGATCTGATAATAATTAACACACTTCGATTTTTGAAAAAAGTATTTTTCAGGTAGTCAGTTTTCTAACACTCAGATTTGATGATAATTAACACAGTTGGATTTTTAAAAGAAAGTATTTCTCAGGTGTTCAGCTTTTTGACACTCAGATTTGATGATAATTAATACAGTTGGATTTTTTTTTTAAGTATTTCTCAGACTTTCTGACACTCAGATATGATTATAATTAATAAAATTGGATCCAAAAAAATATTTCCTCAGATGGTAGACTTCTGATTATCAGATCTGACCGTATTTACCATAATCAAAGGATAACTTTAAGAAAACAAAGGAAGTAACTGCAATTTCTAAAAGTATATTTTAAACAATTACAAGAAAACTATTTACTCTACTTATATTCCTTATTTAATAAAATTGTAATATTTTATATTTATTATGATATTATTGTATATCTCCCTGAAAACAAATAAAATACTAATACTTTTACTCTACATATCTATTTATTTGCCTCCTAACAATCCATGAAAAACATTTGAAAGTCCCAATATTTTCCCAGTTCCCACATCTATTTATTGGTCAAACTTTTTAAGTCAATTTAGATTATTTTTATCTATCTGCAGTTCCAATTTCATAGTATTTGGCCACAACGATAAACAAAAAGGCAGTTTAGATGAAACGAAATGATCCTAATCTTGCTAAATCCTTTCTAAACAAACAACAAACATTAATCCTTTGCGTGACCAAATTTAGAAGGATTTGCTGCACAATAATGGGAATCGACAACCCTCAAAAGCCAATTGTAACTATTATTACTATATATTTTGTATGTTCATAAGGTTTCCTCAATCTCAATTAATTAAAAATAACAATTACTACTTGATCTTTACACAATTTTATCAGACATTTTATTGCAGTTTGATTCTAACAGTATTTGTTAATGTTCGATGTTATAAATAACAAATTTTACAAGACAGTACAAAACGATTTGCAAAAAAAAAACTGCAATCTTAAAAATTTTACTAGACAAAATTTACGATCCTAAGTACATTTGTATTCTTTTAAATTTTTATAATATCTGATATAAATTATTGATAGTTTGTAGTTAGCTGTCTTTCGCTGTGTATTGTTGTAGATATTTATGTGTGTTTTATATTGCATGAGGGTGGTGGAATATTGAAAGTAGCTTGCGGATAGGGTATTGAATTCTCTGTGTACCAGAGAAGGGTGGTACGTAAAAAAGAAAAAAAAAGCATAGCACCTACAAAAGATAAACCCAACGATAAGTGGCAGGATGATCAGTGACAATACACTCAGAGTGTGTAGATATAAAATTCAAGACTAAAAGTTATCAACGATTACTTATCAATATATGCCAAAATGTATTTCACGCACATCATAATATGTGATAATCAGTTTAAGGATAATCAGAAACCAACAAAATTACAAATCTTCCTTCTTTTCTACAAATGAATTAATAAAGTTTATTATAATCAAATGCTTTATGTTACGTTTGATTTTTTAATAAATAAATGTTTTATTTAACCTTAGTGGCCTAAAGACAAATGTCACAGAGCCACAACAGCTCTCCTTGTTCGTAAGCGTGCTGTATTTTGATTGTACTGGTTTGCAAAATTTGCAATCATTTGCTAATTGATATTTAATTTTTATTATTTAAAAGTTTTACATTTTACAATGAGTATTCCTTTGATTTCAAACTTCTTTTATTCAGAACATGCATGTTTATAATTTAAATATGTTTTAATTAAAATAAAAATGAACATTTTTATGAAAACTCTTTGATTTCTTGAAAATAGGTAATGGGGTTGTGACAGGGTTGCATTCTGAGTCCAGTTTTACTTCCATTGCTTTTAGAAATATTATTTATCATTTAAAAGTTAAAGTTTTTTCAATTACTTTTTACTCAGAGCATGCATGTTTTCTATTTAAATATATTTTAATTAAAATAAAAGAGAACATTTTTATAAAAACTCTCTAATTTCTTGAAAATAGGTTATGGGAGTGTGCTAGGGTTGCATTCTGAGCCCAATTTTATTTCCATAGTTTTTAGAAATAATATTTATCATTAGTTCAACTTTTTGTTAAATGAGTATTCCTTTCATTTCAAACTTCTTTTTATTTAGAGCGTGGATGTTTATTATTTAAATATGTTTTAATTAAAATAAAAGTGAACATTTTTATGAAAACTCTCTGATTTCTTGAAAACAGGTAATGGGGGTGGAACAGGATTGCAGTCTAAACCCAGTTTTATTTTCATTGTTTTTAGAAATAATTTTTATTATTTAAAAGTTCAGCTTTTTTTTTAAATAAGTATTCCTTTGATTGCAAACTTCTTTTTATTCAGAACATGCATGTTTATTATCTAAAATATGTTTTATTTAAAATAAAAATGAAAATTTTAATGGAAATTTCTGATTTCTTGAAAAAAGTTATGGGGGTGTGCCAGGGTTTCATTCTGACCCCAGTTTTACTTCCATTGTTTTTAGAAATAATATTTATCATTTAAAAGTTGAACTTTTTTTCAGTTATTATTTGGATGTCGTGAGATGCGGTGTGGTCACCTCCAAATATTCATCAAGTAACGATCACTAAACACCGCACATTTTTTTCAATTACTTTTTCCTCAGAGTGTGCGTGTTTATAATTTAAATATGTTTTAATTAAAATAAAAATGAACTTTTTTATGAAAACTTTGATTTCTTGAAAATAGGTAATGGGGGTGTGGCAGGGTTCCATTCTGAGCCCAGTGTTATTTCCATTGTTTTTAGAAATATTATTTATCATATAAAAGTCCAACTTTTTTCAATTATGTGTGATGAATAGTGACCATTAATCGATATTTATTTAGAAATCGTGAGATGCGGTCTGGTGTGATGTAGATTTTAGAAAAACATTTTCTTTATCTTGCCAACATTTCGATCTTTATTGAGATCATCTTCAGGGCCTGGGATTTACAAACATTGTTTACATATAACAATTACATTTTGGATGTGGAAAAGTGAATTTATACAATGCAAAATATTTTTTTTTCTCACTGGCACTCTCGACACAACCCGCAAGAATGGCACAATTACACAGAAGACAAACACATTGAGTGAGTAGAATTACTTTGATTGAATAAAAAAAATTTTTTTTGCATTGTATAAATTCACTTTTCCACATCCAAAATGTAATTGTTATATGTAAACAATGTTTGTAAATCCCAGGATGATCTCAGGAAGATGATCTCAATAAAGATCGAAACGGCACGATAAAGAAAATGTTTTCTGAAACCTACATCACACCAGACTGCATCTCACGATTTCTAAATCAATTTTTTCAATTAGTTTTTATTCAGAAACGTGCATGTTTATTATGTTTTGTTCAAAATAAAAATTAACATTTTTATGAAAACTCTCTGATTTGTTTCAAATAGGTAATGGGGGTTTGACAGGGTTCCATTATGAGCCCAGTGTTATTTGCATTGTTTTTAGGAATAATTGTTATATCTAAAAGCTCAACTTTTTTTCATTTATGTTAACTGCATAATTGTTGGCAGAGTTCACGCAGCTATGTTTTATTTAATAATTCATACTTCCAGTTATTTGTTATTGTGTTCTATTTCTAATTCAGTTTCTTTAAACATCTATGTGCGTTTTGTAATGAATCTATATAATATGTCTCCTAAGTAGTTTGTAATTTTTGCATAATTTTAATTGGCTTTGCCGGTAAAAAAATAAAATAAATTACAAAAGATGGAATTGGACTGCAAGAGGTGATAGGCTCAACTCTGTACATGTGCATATTTGAGCTTATATAAATCAGCAATTAACTTTTTACATCCAGAAATTTTAAATTGTGCTTTTAAATATTTTCATTAATTAATGACTAAATTTTTCTATTAATAAATTGTTCAAACAAAAATGAACTTGAGTTTGGGATTCATTGTCTCTGTCCCTTCTTGACAACCTCTTTTTAGAACCACGAGAGAGCATTCTTCCTTAATCTTTGTTGAATATTAGTAAATTATTTTTAATTAAATATTTAAAACGAATATTTTACTAAAATTAGCTTTTTGTGTAAGTTTTGAATACAGCAATTTATAGAAATGTAACTTTTTTGCTGTCTTTGCTGCCTATAGCCACGTGTAACCTCTTCCTGGCTGTTACCAATGTTTATGTTTTTATGACATGATTAGATTTATTTTAAAATAATGGCTGAGGATAATTTCGAAACGGTATTTTTTTTTTTTTTTTTAATAGATTTATATTTAAATTTTATACTTTCTTGTCGGTGTGTTAGTAAATGATTACAATTTTCGCTAAGCTTGCAAGATTTACTGCTTAAAACTCTTGTCATTTACTCAGATTTGTTTCTTTTTTTAGTTTGAGGAGGATGAGACTGAGGGTATAATTTTGACAGGGAAGAAAAGGCTCTTTTCTAAAGAACTACGCTGCATGATGTACGGGTTCGGGGACGATCAGAACCCTTACACCGAGAGCGTCGACTTGCTTGAAGATTTGGTAATCGAGTACATCACTGACCTGGTACGCCACAACACTTACCTTCCGACCTGGCTTTTTTATCCTTAATTTTTTTTCATTTCAGACACACCAGGCGATGGAGATCGGCCGTACGGGCAGAGTTCAAGTCGAAGACATAATCTTCTTAGTAAGGAAAGACCAGAGGAAATACGCCAGGGTCAAAGATTTGCTTACAATGAACGAACAGTTGAAGAAAGCGAGAAAGGCCTTCGACGAAGTGAAATACGCCGTGCCTTGATTCAATTTTTTTTTATTGTATTTTTCTGTATAAATAAATATCTATGTAAATCAAGATTTTGAAAGCCATTTCGAAGGGTTTTTAATGCTGATTTGATTGATCTGATCGTCCTGCATACCTTTATTCTTCATTTGAGGAAAGACATTCGTGATCAAATGTGAATATCCATGTCCTCCATAATGACTCTTGAAAAAAAAAAAAAATTAAAATTAAAATTGCTCTAAATACATAATTTTATAAAATTACCAGACGGTGTTTTGTATGGATGTCATGAGAGACTAAGATTTTCTCTAGTTTCTTTTCTTCGATTAAAGCCTTGATGTAGTCGATTCTTTGAGCGTCGGACGGCATGTCCTGCTTCACATTGAACTGATAAAACGAGCATTCAATGCCAAACAGGTCGAACTGGCAATAACAGTTGAGATTTGAGAATTCGAGTATCTGTTCAACGTTGCTCAAAGTCCCTGAAAAAAACTTAGTTCTCAACTTTGCTTAATATATTCGACATAAAATTTACGTTCTACGTGAGACATGATGGCCTTTTCGGCAGATCCCCCCGCTTCGGTGTAGATTCGCATTATCTCCTCGGGCGCGTAGTTGTCCCTGCCTGGATGGAAGCTGACGCTGCATTTCAGCTCGTCCTGCATTATACCAGTCGCTTGAATCGACCTTCTCTCAAATTCTTAAAAAAAAAAATTAACAATCGAATCTAAAAAAAATCAAAAATAAATCTAAGATACCTGTTATCGGCCATGAACTTCCGACTTCGCCGATGAATCCGCAGAAGCTCATTTCCTTTCTAATCGTATCGCACATTTCTTCCACGGACAGTCTCCTGTCACCAGATGGTTGAGAATGCTCAACATAATACCCTAACACCATTTCATCCGATTATTTAAAAATAAAAGTTTTTTTTTTTTTACTTTATTTATTACAAATTTTTAATTACCTGTTCCAGCGATGACATGCACACCAGTATCAGCAACTTTCTTCATAAGTTCCAAGTCCCTTTTTAATCCATTACTCGTATTCTCGACAATCGTGCCTCCGCCGAACTTCTTGTATCTTTTCATCTCTTCCAAAATCTCTGAATGTACGTTGTAAAACTTGATGTTGTCGTAGTTTGAATAACTAAAATGGAAGAGAAAGTACAGTAGGGATTTTTTTTCGAGGATTTTCTACGACTTACGGATACTGTTTGATGAATCCGACTGTGTCGAGCCGTATCGTGGCATCAAGAGCCAATTTCAATTGGGCCGGCGGCTGGAGGTAGAATTTTTCATAATCCAAGCTCAAATGCTCGTGCGTTAGAGTCAAACCGAGTTCGGAAATAGGAACATTTCCTTTCACTAGACATTTTTTAAAACGAAATAAGTCCAAATTTGAAAATGAAATACAAAAATATGAGTTCTGAAAATTCTGTCCATAGAAAAATACATGCAGTAAATATTTCAAATTTCAGACTTTTCAGTCAAAAACATTAAATAACTAATTGCCAATAAAATGTCAAAATTATTGTACCAGTTTTCACAAAGTCTTTCAATGATCCAGACATGTTTTTTGGTTTTTAATCACCCGGTGTGTACAGTGCATTCCTCATCAAGATAAGGAGAACAAGATAAACTAGACAAACAGGAAAATATGTAAATTTATTTATCTATAGAACGTTGAGATTTAAAAAAAACTTGTTTACAAATACCTTTATTATGAGGTGGACTGACTTCTTTTTTAAAAGCTAGTGCATAAATTAAAATATTAATTAGAAACATTTTTAATACTTTCCCTCAGTCTTATTATTTTTTAAAATAACTTAATTTCATAAGTTAAGGTCAGTTAAGCAGATATATTACAATTTGGCATGGAAAAAGTGCAATTTGTTTGGAACAGAACCACAAATCGGCATACCCCATGCTAAAAGCGTAACGGAACTGAAGAAATTACAAAAAACTAGATTAATTCAGATGCAAAACAACAAAGAAATTCCTTATCACCTCGATCAGGGAAATAAAAATCAACCTCTGATTCAGCAGTAAGAATTAAGGAAAATAACAGTCCTTTTTACCTCACCACCATACAAAATAGGAAAAACAGCAGAGATATCGGAATATATCTTATGTGAGGTCAGAAACAGTTTGGTCAGAAATGGAAGAAAAGGAATTTTACAAGAGCAATGATTTCTTTTTTTTATTTTTTTTTTTTATTTCATTTTTGATAAGGAGAAAGCAAGGAAGTGAAATCAAATAAGATAAGTAAATATGCAGACATACAGGCAAAAATAGGGACCAATGAAGTAAAGTCGAAAGGAGTTAAAAAAAAAAAAAAAGAAAGAGAATAAGAAATTCTTAAAAATTATATAAATAAAACGAAATATAAGTAATAACTACAAAGGATTGATGTGCATTTATCTGGTAAATGTGCATACACAAATTACTACCTTTTTTGATCGATCGTCTTTTCTTCGATGATAGATTAGACTCGAGTTCTCAATGACTCAGTTTGTTATTACTCCAACGAGCCTTAAATAGGAGAGCCAAATTGGCCCTGAAATTCATAAATAAATTGGTTGAAACAGATCACTACTGATTTGTCCGAATTCTACATGTACATACATTTAAATTATGAAAATTTTACTTTTTTTTCTTTTTAGATTTAAAAAATGTAAGTATTTTTTATGTACAAGTTTCAATTGTCAATATAAGATTCAATTGTTTTACGTATCATTAGATTTGATAGTCTTAAGACTGACCACCTGAGAAATTCCTTATTTCGAATCTGACTGTCGCAAATACAATCAGATGTGACTGTCAAAAAGCTGACCGAGATATTCATTATTTAGATTTGACCGTATGTAATCTAATCAGATCTGACTGTCAGAATGCTGACCACTTGAGATATTCTTTATTTTGGATGTGACTGTCTAAAACATCATCAGATCTGACTCTCAGAAAGCTAACCACCTGAGACATTCTTTATTTTGGATGTGACTGTCTTAACATTTTTAATTGATTAATTAATTTTTTATGTGACAGTCTAAAAAATCATCAGATCTGACGCTCAGAAAGCTGACCACCCATGAAAAGCCTTATTTTGGTATGCATTGCCTAAAATGCTGTTAGATATGACAGTCAGAAGACGAGAGAAATTTTTATTTTTCTAATCAACCATCCCAAATATCACAAGATCTGTTAGTGAGAAAGCTGACCAACCGGGATATTCTTTATTTTAGATTTGACCATCTAAAATATCACCAGAACTGTCTATCAGAAAGCTGACCATCTGTGATTTTTTTTTTTAAGCTATGATAGTTTTTTATTTTGGATCTAACTGTCTTAAATATCACCTGAACTGACAGTCAGAAGGCTGTCCACCTCAGATTTTTTTTTTTTTTTTTTTTTTTTGAGAAATTCTTTATTTCACATTGACAGGCTTAAATAAAGTCAAATTGGTCTATCAGAAAGCCGACTACTGGAAAATTGTACTGACTGTGAGATAGCTCGGGACTGAGATATTCATTATTTTAGACAACCTTCTGAAATATCATCAGATGTGAATGTTGACTACCTGAGATATATTTTTTTTTTTTTCGATGCAACTGTCTAAAATATCATCAGATCTCTACCGTGAGAAAGCTGATCACCCACGAAATGCCTTATTTTTGGATGCGTTGCCTAAAATGCATTTAGATATGATAGTCAGAATGTTCACCATGAGAGAAATTTTTATTTTTCTATTCAACTTTCCCAAATATCACGAGATCAGTTAGTCAGAAAGCTGACCAACCGGGATATTCTTTATTTTAGATTTGACAGTGTGAAATATAATCAGATGTGACTGTCAGAATGTTGACCAATCTTGAAATGCATGAAATATTCTTTATTTTAGATTTGACTGGCTGAAACATGATCAGATATGGGCATCAGAAAGCTGACCATCTGTATAAAAATTTTAGACATGCCTCTGTGTTTCTTATTTTGGATCCAACTGTCTTAAATATCATCTGAACTGACCGTCAGAAGGCTGTTGAAATTGTTGTTGAAATTCTTATTTTTCTATTCAACCGTCGTAAATATTATTAGATCTGTAAGTCCGATATGGCTAGACTGAGAATTCTTGATTTCAGATTTGACTGTTTTATATAGTCAAATTGGTCTAACAGAAAGCTGACTACTGGGAAATTCTTTGTTTCGGATTTCACAAGCTGTCCACCAATAAAATGCCTTATTTTGGGATCAATTACCTTAAATAGTTTTAGATATGACAGCCTCTTAAATTTGTTGTTTGTCAATTCAATTGTCTTACGTATCATCAGATTTGATAATCTGAAGGCTGACCACCTGAGAAATGTATACTTTTCTATTCAATTCTCCTAAATACCACCAGATCTGTTAGTCACAAAGCTGACTACCTGAGACATTCTTTTTTTTTTTTATGTGACTGTCTCAAATATCACCAGATCTGACTGTGAAAAGGCTGACCACTCATGAAATGCCTTATTTTTTCATGGATTACCTAAAATGCTTTTAACTTTGACAGACAGAATGCTGACCACCTGAGAAATTTATATTTTTTTATTTAGTTCTAGTAATATCACCAGATCTGTTAGTCAGAAAGCTGACCAACCGGGATATTCTTTATGTTAGATTTGACAGTGTGAAATATAATCAGATCTGGCTGTCAAAAAGCTGACCTTCTGTATAAAATTTTTAGCTATGACTGTTTCTTATTTAGGATCTGTCTTAAATGTCATCTGAATCGACAGTCAGAAAGCTGTCTGCATCAGAAATTCTTATTTTTCTATTCAACCCTCCCAAATATTACTAGATCTGTCCGATGGCTAGCCTGAGAAATTCTTTATTTCACATTGACTGACTTAAATAAAGTAAAGTTATTAGACCATCAGAAATCTGACTACCAGAGAAATTGCCTATTTTGGATGCAAGTGTCTGAAATATCATCAGATCTGAGTGTCATAAAGCTGTCCACCTGAGGAATTACTTGTTTTGAATCAGGCTATCTTAAATATCATCAGATCCAATAGTCTAAAGGCCGGACAACTCAGAAATTTCACATTTATCAACTCAACTGTCTTAAATAACGTAAGAAAACCAATCGTCTTAAATATCATCACATCTGACAGTCGTTAGACAAAAGTCTACGACCAGAAAAGTTACAGACACTATAGACACTAAGTTGGACAGAATAAGTTCAACAAAATCCAGCTAGATCTACGCCGGTTTGTTGAAACCCTTTCGAACATTTTTACTTAACGCAAATAAATTTAACTGACAACAATTTAAACTGAAACATATAGCATATGTATCTACATATTTTACCAATTATATAATATATATTTGTATAATATGATTGTATCTATGTATGAGAGTGATTTACCCTCGGCCTCCAGACGACTTTGTGCCGTGTGTATCCTTCCTATAATAATTTTATGACCCTGACACTTAAATGCCTGACTGTAGCTATTGAAAAAGGTTTAACAATAAGAATAATATCAAATGAAATCAACAAAGTAAAAAGATTAACTGAAAGCGATCTTCATCCGTAACTGGATGGAATGGCGTGGCTTTTTGTCCAAATGGAATTAATAAGTATAAAAAAGTATTATTTACTGTTTATTTTGACTAAGATGGCTACTAATTAATTGTGACTAATGTAGAAAGATTTTCAATAAAATAAATTGAGTGGTGCGTTAAATTGTCATCAGTGTATTTAGTTGCGTTGAAATTCACGTTTTTCTCTTTGATCTATTTATGCATCTACAAGAATAAGATTGAATTTGATTTGATCATAATAAATTTAATTAGAAATTTAATTAATTACTTTACCCCTCCTTTAACGGTTCTGCAGTGTTAGTATAACCATAGTTGTAACCTCACGGTGGACGCACGTGGGTCAAAATGTCAAAAATTGTTACTGCCAAATCTTCTTGGAAGCCGGTCGAACTAGGAGTCGGGGACTTCGAAGGGTTGATAGGTAAATTTAACTCTAAGTAGATCTTATAAAAATAAATCCTATAAATAACTACAATCGGAGGTTTAAAAATAATGTTTATTCTGGTTGAATGTTTGTTTTTCCTGGCTGGAAGTGTATGGTCAGTGGGCTGTCTTTTCCTAGCTGGGTCGGTTGAAGAAAATGACCGAAGTTTTGATCCCCAGGGATAGAGGAGTTGGTTGATTACGAAGAGAGCGGAAAGAGGAAGGCGAAGGACGACGGAGCGAAGAAAAAGAAGAAGAGGAAAAAGTCGACCGGGAAGAATGTCTTCAAGGTCGAAGATGTCGTGGAGGAAGTGGACGTCGAACAGTGCGACCTCCTGCCTTGGAGTGCGATCTGCGTCCCAGAGGAAATATCCAAGTCCCTCGTTCAAAAGGGTTTCAACGAGCCGACGGAGATCCAGGTACGGTGGTTTATGGTTCTGACGATTGGGTCAGTCAAGTAGTCAGCTTTTGTAACATAGGTTCTAGGCAAACATTTTCTTTTTCATGACAATGTTTCGATCTTTATTAAGATCATATTCAGCGCTCAAAGTGTTTTTCATGTAGAGCGATCTCAATAAAGATCGAAATGTTGGCACGATAAAGAAAATGTTTTTCTAAAACCTACGTCACACCAGACGGCATCTCACGACCTCCAAATAATCATTGGCTAATGGTCACTAAACACCACACATTTTTACACAAGAAAAATAAGATTTTCTGGCAAGCCTTCTGACTTCATATGTAAAACTATTTAAGGTAATCCATCCCAAAATAAGGTATTTCTTGGGTGGTCAGCTTTCTCACAGTCAGATCTGATGATTTTTTAGACAGTCTTATCCAAAAGAAAGTATATCTCAGGTAGGCAGCTTTCTGATAGATCTGGTGATATTTCAGATGTTCAAATCTAAAATAAAGAATACTTCCGTTGGTCAGCTTTTTGAAAGTCTCATTTGACAATAATTATGTCAGTTGAATTGATCAATGAGGAATTTTTTCAGGAGACCACATTCTGCCTGTCAGACCTGACAATATTTAGGTCAGTTGGTTCCATTTCTCATGCAGTTAGCTTTCTACCAGATCTAATGACATTTAATGTAGTCAGATAAAAAATAAGGAATTTCTCAGGGAGTGGGTCTTCAGTCTGATAATATCTAAGACAATACATCCCATTTTAAAAATTTCTTTGATGGTTAGCGTTCTCACAATCAGATCTGACAATAATTAAGAGATTGTCAAATCGAAAAATTTCGGAATTGATCAGATGGCCTGCCTTTGGTCTGTCAGATCTGATGATATTAGAACTGACGATATTTAGTTTAGTTGAATTGATAAATTAGGACTTTCTTATGTGGTCAGCATTCTGACTATCAGATCATAATTCACACAGTTATATCCCAAAATAACCTTAGGTCGCCTGCTTTCTGACACTGAAATGAAACGGAAAAAAAAATCTTTGTTTTATTTTATTATTTTCTCAGATGTATGAAGCGTGAAGCCAAACACAAAACAATTTTTTGTTTGTTTTGTTTTTAGAGGCTTTGCATCCCTGCAGCTATTAAAGGGCGCAGAGACATACTCGGAGCCGCTGAAACCGGAAGCGGTAAGACGCTCGCATTCGGCATACCAATGATATATGGCATAATGAAACAACTAGAAAAAAATGGTAAGCTATTAAAGATGAAAAAATATACATATTTTTTACGAATAAAAATACTTATAGATGAAAGCGACAACAGCGAATCAGATGATGAACAGGGCGATAATTGTGTTAAGGTAAAAAAACTCAGTACAGAAAAGAGGAAAAGCAGGTTGATGGGGTTAGTCATAACTCCGACTCGTGAGCTGGCAATTCAAGTCAACGATCATATTAAAGTCGCAGCAAAGTATACGCCTGTTCAAGTGAGTATTGATTTTTGTCCCATCTGATAGAATAGGCCATACTTGATTGGCAAGATCTCTAACGACAACGATTTATTGCTTCTATTATTTTTTTTTTTTTAAAGGTTGCTGTCATTGTCGGTGGGATGAGTATAGAAAAACAGACCAGGATACTTGACAAAGGTCCTCATATTGTTGTTGGCACTCCCGGGAGGCTCTGGGAGCTCGTAGGAAGCCACCCTCATATGGCTTCTGCAAAGGATATTAAGTAATGAAATATAAAAATTTAATAAAAAATCCTCCACTTTTTATATTTTAACTTATTTACAGGTTTTTAGCTATTGACGAAACAGACAGGATGCTGGAGAGGGATCACTTTCCAGAGCTTCGCTCGCTTCTCGAGAGCATTAATTCCAACCCTTTGACCGCCAAGAAAAGGCAGAATTTCGTCTTTTCAGCCACACTCACTCTAGTTCACGATGTTCCGAGTTATATCAAACAAAGTAATTCTGAAGATTTATATTTAAATATTTTTAGTCTAATTTTATTATTTATTTTTCTAAAGAAAAAAGAAATAGAGCCAAAGGGCTTACGCCAGAGCAGAAACTAAAAAGTCTCGTTGAAAGCATCGGTATGGAAAATTATAAAATTGTCGATATTACCAAGGCAAAAGGAACCGCTGACAAATTAAAAGAGACAAAAATAAGCTGTACATTCGATGAGAAAGATTATTATTTGTACTATTTACTTGATAAGTATCGAGGGCGAACTTTAGTATTCTGCAATAGCATTTCTTCCGTGAGGAGGCTCGCTTCTCTTCTCAACATACTCAACCGTCCACCGCTACCATTACATGCCAACATGCAACAGAGGCAACGTCTTAAAAATCTAGACAAGTACTATTAGTATTTTTTTCTTAATATTTAATTAAAATCAATTTATATATATATATATATTTTTTTTTTTTTTTCTTCAAATAAGGTTTAAAGCGAGAGAAGATAGTATACTGCTAGCCACAGATGTTGCGGCAAGAGGCCTCGACATCCCAGGTGTTCAGCATGTCATACACTACCAAGTGCCGCGTACTTCCGAAGGTTATGTACACCGTAGCGGAAGGACCGCCAGGGCGAACCGAGAAGGCCTTACCATTCTTTTAGTCGAGGCGGCTGAAATCAACCATTACACCAGGCTGTGCTTGACACTTAAGAGGGGTAATTAAAATTATTTATTTATTTGTACAATATCTTACAAGACGTAATTGTTTTTTTTTTTTTTTTTTTTTTTTTTTTTTTTTTTNTTTTTTTTTATTTTTTTTATAAAGAAAAAGATATTGAGGACTTTCCAGTCGACATCGACGGTATTTCACGTGCCAAGAGGATCGTGAGGGTTGCCAGGGATATAGACGCTATATCGCTCAAACTCAAGAAAACCAAAGACCAGGTCAGCTGGTATGAGAAAGCTGCTGAAGAAATGGACATCGTCATCGACGATGACAAGTACGTTAACCGAATGTTTTATTTTTTAATTTTTTTTAAATACTTATATAAAATTGTTTTTAGAACGTATGTCGATAACAAAGAGACAGCAGATGCTAAAAGGCTTTTAAGACAGAAGAAAACAGAACTCGAAGAACTCATCAAAAAGCCCTTAAAGTGCAAAGAAGAAAAGAAACTTTTTAAGAAAATCAAATTATATAAAAAAAAGAAATAAAAATCAATATTTTTCAATTTAATAATTATAATCTTCCAAACTCCAACTATAAAAAAAAGAAAAAACTCAATGACCTCTGGCATAAAATATTAATTGTATTCCCCGTCGCTACATAAATCTTTTGCCGGGCACTTTATATAGAATAATTCCTTCTATAAGAGATTCTACTCTAAATATAGAACATCAGATCAATACTGACTGTTTTATTTATGAATAAACTTGACGAGAGTGCCGTCCGAATAACGGTTTCTAACTTATTAAATAAAAACGAAAGAATATCAATCAATAGCCCACTGAAATAACGGTCGCTCAATCTTCTAATAAAAAATGTTTTCCCAGGACTTAAATTTTCTACCAACCCGACATATTTGAAAATGTTTTCTTATTTTTTATTTTATTTTTTTAATACTGCCACCCCAAGGTTCATATAAACTTATAGTTGAAATACCCTCATTTAAAAAAAATAATTTAAAAAAATTATCAGTAGAAAGAAATGTAATTCATTTTAATTAATTAAGGTTTTTAGATGAGATGAAAAAAAGTTAATGGCACGAGAGGAATTCGAACCCACGACCTTTGGCTAGATACGCCGCTGCAATTGTCGTCGAGAATCCAAACCGATTACACGACATTTGAAAAATGGCAAAAAGGAGGGAAAACTCATAAGGTGGGATTGAGATGAGAAGTTAGTGTCCGAGTGGATCGAGGTCACGATAGCTCAGGTGGTAGAGCAGCCGTATCTAGCCGAAGGTCGTGGGTTCGAATCCCTCTCGTGCCATTAAGTTTTTTTTCATCTCAACTAAAAACCTTAATTAATTTTAATGTATTAATTGGTCAAGCGGACCACGAAATTAGTGAATTTAAGTAATTCATTTTGTAGATTCGACAAATGCTCAACTCAGTTTAATCCATTTATGTTTGATGTTCTAATTGACCATATTAATTATTTCAATTTATTATTCTTTTTATGTAAGGTCTTGATTGAGATGAGAAAGTTAGTGCTATGAGCTGGATTCGAACCTATGACCTTCGGTTCAATAACGCCATTGTTCTACTTGAGCTATCATGAATTCGATCCGCTCGGGTACCAACTCACCATCCTGACTACAACCTTTCACATTCATCTCAACCAAGACCTTACATAAAAAGAATAATTAATTGATTAGACCACTAAACATAAACGCAAAACTTCGCTAACAGCTCACTGCGGCCATTTTCATAAGTTCGAAAATTGAATTCTGATAAAACATTTGAAAAAAAAGGACAAAAAAAACGTAAAATGTGAAAGATTGTAGGTTGAGATGGAGAGTTGGTGTCCGAGTGGATCGAATTCACTATAGCTCAAGAAAAGCAGCGGTGTATTCAGCCGAATGTAGTGGGTTCGAATCCTGCTCGTCACACTGACTTTTTCATTTCAAGGCCTTACATAAAAAGAATAATTAAATGAAATAAATATTTGAGTAACATGAGAAGAGAAAAATAAAATAACTAAAATACGGTAAAATGTCTTTTTTATAGGTCTTATTATTTCAAGGCGTTTTTATGACGTTTCGCCGATCCTGTGATATTTTCAAGTCATTTTATTTCTTAATCAATTTAAAGATGATCTTTTTTTTTTAAATAAATAGAAATAATTAATAAATTTTTTGTATTGCCTGAAGTTTATTTTAATTTAAAAAAATTGTAATCTGTTTTGTTTGTTGATAATGATATTTATTAATTAGTTTTTATATTTGATTAAAAGAAATCGGAATGATTTAAAGTGTATAATTGATCCTTATTTGTTTGAAATACGTAGACGTTTGACGTTTTTAATTTCGTATCGAGGAGGCATTGGCGGTAAATGGCGGGAGCGCCCCCTCCACCTCGGTGCGACGTCTTCCTCACGGGCCGAGAGGGCGAAAAAGTGTGCCAGCGCCGGGAAGTGAACGCGGAGTGAACCGAGCCGTTGAAAAAGGGCCGTCGAAAGTGCATAAAAACCGCCCCAAGGGTCCGAACAGCGCCGCCCCCGGCCGACGCCATGGACGAAGACGACTACCACCTCAAATGGGCCAAACACCACGACGCCTTCGTCTCCCTCTTCGACCAGTATTTCGACAAGGAGATACTCGTCGACTGCACCCTCGCCGCCGAGGACAAGTTCGTCAAAGTGCACCGGATCGTCGTCATGGCCTGCAGCCCGTATTTGCAGGTGAGCTTTTCAACCCGGGCGAGCTTTCACGCACCCGCCGCTTTCCGACCACCGGCGGACAACATTTTCCAACATTTATTTCTGTTTTCAACCCGCGTAACCTCCCCGACAATGTTGCCTTTAGGTTAACTTTTGTTTTCCTCTCACCTTTCTAATTTCCATAAATACAACCCTTACAAAACCACTCGACTCACATTCCATACAAAAATTAAAACAATAATAAATCCAGAACAATCTTTTAAAAAAAAATCTATCCCCTTTATTTTTCCCCTCGATAACAATAACCATTACAAATCTTCAAACACTCCACCATTATCTTAATTATTCAACGACAATGATTTCACTCGTTTCTGAAATCGAAAACTGTCCAAAGCGTATTAACTCGATCCCATTGACCAACATACATAACTTATGATTAAGCCAAAAAGTTCAAAAATCACCTCGGGTTTAGTGGGGTATCAAATCATAAGACAACCCTCTGTACCTGTTTTTGAATGACACAAAAACATACTCTAAATATCTACGATTTTCTAATTTAGGTTGCAATTATGAATCTTTAAGTTTTTAATATCTAAAAGTATTAATTCGTTCCGTTTGACCAATAAACATATCTTACGATTAGGCCAAAAAGTTCAAAAATCACCTCAGGTTTAGTGGGGTATCAAGTCATAAGGCTACCTAGTGTACCTGTTTTTTAAAGATGCAAAAACATACTCTAAACATCAACGATTTTCTAATTTAGGCTGCAATTAGGAATCTTTAAGTTTTTTATATCAAAAAGTATTAATTCGATCCATTTAACAACATACATATCTTATGATTAGGCCAAAAAGTTCAAAAATCACATCGGGTTTACTGGTGCTTCAAATCATAAAACTACCCAGAGTACCTGTTGTTGAATGATACAAAAACATACTCTAAACATCTACGATTTTCTAATTTAGGTTGCAATTAGGAATCTTTAAGTTTTTTATATCATAAAGTATTAATTAGATCCATTTGATCAATATACATATCTTACGATTAGGCCAAAAAGTTCAAAAATCACCTCGGGTTTACTGGTGTTTCAAATCATAAAACTACCCAGTGTACCTGTTTTGGAATGATACAAAAACATACTCTAAATATGTACGATTTTCCAATTTAGGTTGCAATTATGAATCTTTTAAGTTTTTAATATCTAAAAGTATTAATTCGTTCCATTTGATCAATGTACATATCTTACGATTAGGCCAAAAAGTTCAAAAATCACCTCGGGTTTACTGGTGTTTCAAATCATAAAACTACCCAGTGTACCTGTTTTGAAATGATACAAAAACATACTCTAAATATTTACGATTTTCCAATTTAGGTTGCAATTATGAATCTTTTAAGTTTTTAATATCTAAAAGTATTAATTCGTTCCATTTGACCAATATACATATCTTATGATTAGGCCAAAAAGTTCAAAAATCACATCGGGTTTACTGGTGTTTCAAATCATAAAGCTACCCAGTGTACCTGCTTTTGAATGATACAAAAACATACTCTAAATATGTACTCTTTTTCTAATTTAGGTGCAATTAGGAATCTTTAAGTTTTTAATATCTAGAAGTATTAATTCGTTCCATTTGATCAATGTACATATCTTACGATTAGGCCAAAAAGTTCAAAAATCACCTCGGGTTTAGTGGGGTATCAAATCATAAGGCTACCTAGTGTACCTGTTTTTGAAAGAAGCAAAAACATAGTCTAAACATCAACGATTTTCTAATTTAGGTTGCAATTAGGCATCTTTAAGTTTTTTATATCAAAAAGTATTAATTCGATCCATTTGACAACTTAAATATCTTATGATTAGGCCAAAAAGTTCAAAAATCACATCGGGTTTACTGGTGCTTCAAATCATAAAACTACCCAGTGTACCTGCTTTTGAATGATACAAAAACATACTGTAAACATCTACGATTTTCTAATTTAGGTTGCAATTAGGAATCTTTAAGTTTTTTATATCAAAAAGTATTAATTCGATCCATTTGACAACATACATATCTTATGATTAGGCCAAAACGTTCAAAAATCACATCGGGTTTACTGGTGCTTCAAATCATAAAACTACCCAGTGTACCTGTTGTTGAATGATACAAAAACATACTCTAAACATCTATGATTTTCTAATTTAGGAATCTTTAAGTTTTTTATATGAAAAAGAATGAATACAAGTTTTAATTTCTGAGCAAACTGATATAGATGAGGACAACATGAGTTTTTTTTTTAATCTTTGCCTATTAATTACATTGACATCATTAGCAATTAATAAAATATGGTTTTCCAGTGTTCTTTTTTAATAAATATTCAATCGGATGAAATTTTTCAAAATGTACAGAATTATTGTGAATTTTCTTTAGTCTACATAAGTTTTCAAAGGTATCGAATCATGACTGTTGTGCCTGAGACTTGAATGACCCAAAAACTCAGTTATCTACTATTATCTCTATATTTTATACCTTAGTCAAATTGCAATTAAGATATTTTATGTTTTTAATATCAAAAAAAGCAAAATGCAATATATATGAACGCAACTTGAGTCAGTTTCTTAAATTTTTTACTACTTATGAAATTTGCTGACCTTTTATCCTTTGCCTATTAATTACATTGATATCAATAGCAATTAATAAAATGTGGTCTCCCAGCATTCCTTTTTGTAAAGGGAACAAAGTTTACTTTAGTCTGGCTAAGTTTTCAAGGGCATCAAATCATGACCGGTGTACCTGGGACTTGAATGACCCAAAATCATTATTAACCACTATTTTCCACCAGAGTCAAGTGGTAATTAAACAATATTTTGTTCTTAATATCAAAAACAATGAATACAAGTGTTAATTTTAAAGCAAGCTAAAATATAGACAAGCACATGAGTCGGTTCCTTAAAATTCCTTCAATAATTATGAAATTTGCGGATCTTTTATCTTTGCCTGTTAATTGCATAGCAACTAATAAAATGTGATTGTCCAGTGTTCCTCCATGTAAATATTTAATCAGATGAAATTTTTTGAAATATACAGAATTATTACTTTTGTTTACTTAAGTTTTCAAGGATATCAGATCATGACCGGTGTACCTGAGACACTTGAATGACCCAAAAACATAACTAATCTAGAATTTTTTACCTCAGTCAAATTGCAATTAAGATATTTTATGTTTTTAATATCAAAAACAATGATTACAAGACATGTTAATTACAGAGCAAACTGAAATATAGGTGATCACACGCGTCGGTTCTTTAAAATTCCTTTGATTCTTATGAAATTTGTTGATAATTTATCTCTGCATATTAACTACATTTACATATATAACAATTAATAAAATATGGCTTTTCAGTATTGAAATTTTTTGAAATGTACACAATAAATTTACTTTAGTCCACTTACATTTTCAAGGGCATCAAATCATGATCAGTGTACCTGATACTCAAAATCTTTATTAACCACAATTTTCCACCGTAGCCAAGAGGTAATTAAACAATATTTGTTCTTAAAATCGAAAATGATGAATATGAGAGGTAAATTGAGAGCGAACTGAAGTACAATTTAGCACGCATAAGTTGGTATGTTAAAATGTCCTCTAATCTTTGTGAAAATTGTTGACATTTTAACTTTGTGTACGGTGGAAAGTTGTAAATAACTATGTTTTTTGGTCATTCAAGATGGTCTGATACACCTGTCATGTTTTGATACACTTGAAAATTTAAATAGGCTAAAGTAAATTCATTCTTTTCAATAATAAATCAAGACAAACTTTTTTTTTAAATATATAAATAATCTATTTCTGTGTTTTCCCCTTGATGACATTAACCACTACAAATCTTCAAAAACTCCTCCATTATAAATAATTATTCAGTGACAGATGATTTTACTGGTTTCTTTAATTCAAAACTCGTTTGAGTATATTAACTCGATCCATTTGATCAATATACGAATCTTATGATTAGGCAGAAAGTTCAAAAACCATCTTGGATTTAATGGGGTTTTTAAGGGTATCAAATAACGACCAGTGTAGCTGTTTTTGAAAGACGCAAAAACATAGTCTAAACATCTACGATTTTCTAAGTTAGGTTGCAATTATGAATCTTTAAGTTTTTAATATAAAAAAGAATGAAGGCATGTGTTAATTTCAGAGCAAACTAAAATATAGATGAGCACATCATGCATCTGTTCCTTAAAATTCCTTGATTCTTATGAAATTTGCTGACATTTTACATTTGCCTATTACATTGACTTTTATATTGAAATCAATAGCAATTAATAAAATATGGTTTTCCAGTTTTCCTTTATGTAAATATTAATCGGATGAAATTTTTCAAAATGTACACAATAAATTTACTTTAGTCCACTTAAATTTTCAAGTTTATCAAATCACAAACAGTGTACCTAAGACTTGAATGACCCAAAAACATAGTTATCTACTATTATCTCTATTTTATACCTTAGTCGAATTGCAATTAAGATATTTTATGTTTTTAATATCAAAAAAAGCAAACTTCAATATAGATGAATACAACATGAATCGGTTACTTAAAATTTCTTCAATACTTATGAAAATTCCTGACTTTTTATCTTTTTTTTATTAATTTCATTGTTATCAATAGCCACCAATAAAATAAGATTTTTCAGTGTTCCGTCAAGTAAATATTTAATCAGATGAAATTTTTTAAATGTACACAATAAATTTAGTTTAGTCCCTGCTAAGAGGGTGTAGAGAAGTTATCACGTTGAGAGAAATTTATTGAGAGTGATGGAGGGTATTTTCAATAAAAAAAATTTAAAACCACATATTTAATTGTTTTTATTTTATAACCATAAGCCGGCATTATTTTCCGTACAATTCAATATATTGTTAATTGAAATTTTGAACTCCCACTAAACAATTTTCCAGTGTTTGAGTGGATTTTCTCTCATACTATCATATCATAATTAAATATTTTTTTATTTGAATTTCTCATCTTGTTCAATTTGGTTCAC